TTGTAGGGTTTTTTCAATAAACAGACGGCATTCCCATGGGAACCAACTGTGCTTCTCTTCTTATCGACTTGTTCTTTTATTTAAATGAAGCTGAACTCATACAGGAACTTCTTAGGAAGTAAGAAAAGAAGTAATCAGTATCTTTCAACTTTACTTTCCACTGTATAGATGATGTTCTCTCAATAATTAACTAAAATATTGGTGACTATGCTAAACGCATTTATCCCATCGAACTTGAGATAAAGGACAACAGATACAGTTACGTCTGCCTCATATTTGTCTTACTTCTAAAAACTGGCAAAAACTGGCAAAGGTGGTCGTTTGAAAACAAAACTTTACGACAAAAGATTATTTCAGCTTCCCAATTATGAACTTTTCATTTATATGTAGCAACATTCCAGTAGCGCCTGCATATATATCTCCCAGTTTATAAGATATTCCGGGCTTGTATTTACTAACTGGATTTCCTTGATAGAGGGTTGCTGCTCACAAGTAAGCTATAAAGCAAATAGTTTCAAGTGGTGAGGTTGAAATCATCCCTTCGTAAAGTTTACGGACGCCATATCGATCGAGTTGGTTGACCGTTATGAAAACGGATGTGTTCCAATTGTCGTAACTACAATCCCGTTCCCTTTTCCCGAGTGTGGCCTACCTCATTAGACTTGTCGTGGGTTCGTACATACATGAAACCACGACCGATGCCATATGTGGAACAGGATCTGCTTATTCTTCCAGAATACTGAGATCATCCCAGTTTTTGTTGTGGTTCGTGTTGCTCAGTCCTTAGTTTTCAATGTTGTGTTTTGTGTACTATTGTTTGTCTATTTGTCTTTTTCTTTTTTAGCCATGGCGTTGGCAGTTTGTTTTCGATTTTCTTTTGCACAGTTTTAATATTGATATTCTAATCTAAATAATTGCATTTTACTATCAAAATTACAAAAAAAGCTCTATTTCTTATAATACTGTTAATTCATTTATTTTTGTGAGTACTCATTTTCGTGGATTAAGAAAAAAAGTAAGTATAGAGTTGGTGGTTTTGAAAAAAAGTTTGCATACAAGCCTATATAAAATTTGTGTTTTGATGAAGATTTAGATTCGTGGTTCACCAGTAAAAACGAAGTCCGTCAAAATGTGTATCTCATGAATTATAATTAATCCACAATAGTATAAATAACATTTTAGATGCACAATCCGTAATCATTTGATGTTGTCACTACCTTTATCTGATGTATTTTCCAGATGTTCCAGATTCAAAAACATTTGATGTGAGTTTGATGGTTACATTACTTAGAAATCTGACAAAGCTAGCCCATCCTATGGGTGGATTTGACTGTTTACCTTCAGCCACGGAGACCTCAAAAAGTGCTGATTTAGCCAGATTCAAATACTACAGGAACTACTTAGCTCATGGTAATTTAGACACAACCTCTTTTGGTACGATGTGGACTGATATAACTGGGGTATGTTTGGTTATGCGTTTGTCTTTTACTTGATTTAGGATGATGCATTGTTTATTAGAGACCCTTACTCTGTCAACGCACCTGCTTTTACTGTTTTTGAAGTGCATTAGTTTTATGTCTGTTGCCTTCATTTGTAGTTTTTTTAATGGAATTGATCATCGCGTGACTCTTAGTTAGGTCTGTCCCTTTATTAAACGGCATTTGACCTAATTATAAAGTATCATACGTAAATTTATGCACCCTACGAACATTTTAAGTTTCTTCCTGACAGCTATTGATAGCTTACACCTTTTGTCCCTTTTTTTATCATATTCTTACTTTTTAAAACAAATATTGAGGCCACATAAGAGACCCTTTACAACAAATGCCATGAGTGTGTATGTAAAGGTAATATCTTTGGTTAGCTTGCTTGTCTTGCTGTCTGTAGGGGTACACTACTCCTTTCGGAGAAGTGTACCCCTACAGACAGATAGATTGGTTATCTGTCGGACTAGTCCACTATTAAAGGAGGGTAGTATACCTACCTTAATAATAACTTCACGGTTCAGCTAACAAGCAAGCTAACCAAAGATATTAACTTTACCTACACACTCAAGGCATTTGCTGTAAATCTGGTAAAGAGTAATTTGCTTAGTTTTAAACTGATATCTCTTAAAATTAGTATTCAATTTGTCTATGGCATGTACAAAATTATAACAGCAACAAACCGGGCTACACTATTTTGACACTAGACTAGGATTTGTTTTTTTAAAAATCAGCAACTAGTCAACTAAGTAAAATTAAAAAGCGTGTGATCTTTTTGAATTATGTTATGTAACCCAATGAAATGATGGTCGCTTACAAACCAACTAAAATTACAAGTATAGTCCAATATTTTCCAGGCAATTGGTAGATTAGATGGGCAGCAAATAAAACAGGAGTGTGATCATCTTAAAAACAAACCTCTAGATCAAAGTAACCAAGAAATAATGCTTGACATCAAAAGGTCTAATGATGAAATCAGGGAGCTTAAAGAATCATTTGATAGCCTGAATATGTCGCATACTGAAATGACACAATCTCATAAATTACTACAAGAATCCCATGAATTGCTACAGAAAGACCATGCACATGTTACAAAAGAAATTGAAGAAATAAAAAGTGCTCAGAAGGTTACTGTGCCTTGGAATATTAGAGGTAAGTTGTTAGTTAGTACCTCGGTACTCTGTCAATTTAGCTGATTTCTTGGAGTGTGGTAAAAAGTATCTTTGTTGTCAGGTTGGTAACTGGAATGCTTAACAGGGGAAGGGCAGTCACGTTGATAACTGCTAACGTAAACAAGGTTAACTAGGGAAGGGGAGTAAGGTGGATAACTGGTAACGTTAACAAGGTTAACTAGGGAAAGGGAGTCAGTTTGATAACTGGTAACGTAAACAAGGTTAACTAGGTAAGGGGGGTCAGGTTGATAATTGCAAACGTTGACAAGGTTAACTATGGAAGGGGAAACAGGTTGATAACTGCTGACGTTGACAAGGTTTACTAGGGAAGGGGAGTAAAGTTGATAACTGGTAACGTAAACAAGGTCAACTAGGGAAGGGGAGTAAGGTTGGTAACTGGTAACGTTAACAATGTTAACTAGGAAAGGAGAGTAAGGTTGATAACTGGTAACGTTAACCAGGTTAACTAGGATAGGAGAGTCAGGTTAATAACTGGTAACGTTAACAAGGTTAACTAGGATAGGAGAGTCAGGTTGACAACTAGTAACGTTAACAAGGTTAACTAGGATAGGAGAGTAAGGTTGATAACTGGTAACGTTAACAAGGTTAACTAGGATAGGTGATTTAGGTTGATAACTAGTAACGTAAACAAGGTTAACTAGGATAGAAGAGTCAGGTTGATAACTGGTAACGTTAACAAAGTTAACTAGGATAGGAGAGTCAGGTTGATAACTGGTAACGTTAACAAGTTTAACTAGGATAGGCGAATCAGGGTGCCACATGTGGAGCAGGATCTGCTTACCCTTCCGGAGCACCTGATATCACCCCCCAGTTTTTGGTGGAGTTCGTGTTGCTTAGTTTTTAGTTTTTAGTTTTCTATGTTGTGTCATCTGTACTATTATTTGTCTGTTTGTCTTTTTATTTTTGGCCATGGCGTTATCAGTTTGTTTTCGATCTATAAGTTTGACTGTCCCTCTGGTATATTTCGTCCCTCTTGTGTAACTGGTTAACAAGAGTGACAGGTTGATACTTTTCTTTGCTTTTGTTCTGTATCTTTCATTATGGTTTCTGCTTTGATACAATAATAAATAGAGATAACTAGAGATGTAGTTTGTGAAAAGAAATACTAGCAAGTAGGATACTTTCAGAAGTGAAATAAAATGTGAAAAAAAAAGGATTAACCGCTAATAGACATATGATCATTCATTATAAGTAATCTGTATCATAGTAATCAAATAAATACATTTTTTCTTATTGCTTAATTTCTATTTCAGAGAAAACCAGAGACACACTTAAGGATTGGAAAGATAATGATACGATGTTTATAGAAACAAGAGCTGCCTAGCTTGTACTCAAATCGATAAAGGAAAACAGTTGTGTAACTATTACAGCTAGTTCTGGTGTAGGGAAGACAGCAACACTCCGGCACGTGGCTTTAGAGATGAAAGATGAGGGCTATGATGTCCTTATAGTGACAAAACCAGGTCACATTGTGAAGTATTACAACCCAAAAGAGAAGACATTGTTTGTTTTTGATGATTTATGTGGAAACTTTTCTGTTGACCAAAGTGACATTAAAAGTTGGGACCCAGTCATGGAAAATATAAAAACAATTCTTGACAAAAATAAAACAAAAATTCTTGCAGCATGTCGGTTACAAGTGTATCTAGATGAAAAGTTTGAATCTTTATCAGTGTTTAAGTCATGCGTATGCAACCTGTTGTTAGAAAACATGCGTCTGTCAAAAAATGAAAAACAGTCAATAGCAGAGTTATATCTTAAAACAAAAGCATCAAAGATTACAGGTTTTTATAATTTATACGATTGTTTCCCTTTATTATGTAAACTGTACCATGATAATCCTGAACTTAATATTACAGATTTCTTTCAGAACCCATTTTCAGTTTATGAAGCAGAGATGGACAAGCTTCTTAAGAAAGGGCATCACACTAAATACTGTGCTTTGGCTTTATGCATAATGTTTAACAACAAGTTGAAGGAAGAAATGCTTACAGAAGAGTTGAACGAAGAAACCAGGACTATTATCGAGAACACATGTGAGGCATGTAGATTAGACAGGGGAACATCAAGACTTGTGTTACAAGATGGTCTTGAATCACTTAAAGATACATTCATAAAACAAGAACAAAACATGTACAAGATTTTACATGATAAAATGTTTGACTTTTTAGCATACTTCTTTGGGCAAAATATAATTCATTGCTTGATAAAGAACGCAGACAGGGGTTTGATCAAGGAAAGATTTGTATTAGAAAAACAGCATGACATGGACCAGTTTATTACTATTATACCTCCAAAGTACCATAAACTGTATATACAAAGAATGATTGATGACTGGTCAAAGGAAAAAGTTCAAGATGTATTTAGTAACATCAATATGAAGATACCTAAATTCAGACAGACATTTTTGTGGCATTTAAAAAGTCTGGATTTATCGTACCAGAGACACCTGGCACATATCTGTGGTAAACATACACCATGTATTTCTCTTGCGTGTTACGATGACCCAGACTTCTATTATTTGAAGACATTTGATGATCATCATCATGATAAGGACGATGATGCTTATGATACTGCTTTATTACAGTGTAGTTACATAGGATATATTTCCTTGGTCCAGTGGTGTTGTAATCAAGGTGTTGATGTAAACATGTGCACATATAGTAGACTGTCACCTGTAATGATTGCTTGTAAACATGGCCATACAGAAATAGTAAAGATATTGTTAGACAATGGAGCAGACTTTAGTAAACGTGATAAGGATTATCAAACACCTATATTTACGGCTTGTAAACATGGTCATACAGAAATAGTAAAGATAATGTTAGACAGAGGAATAGATTGTAATACAATTAATAAATATGGTCAGACACCTGTAACAAAGGCTTGTGAACGTGGTCATACAGAAATAATAAAGATATTGTTAGACAGAGGGGTAGACTGTAATGCAGGTGACATGTTTGGTCAGACTGCTGTTTTGAAGGCTTGTGGACATGGTAATACAGAAACAGTAAAGATGTTGTTAGACAGAGGTGGAGACTCTAATAAATGTGATAATATTGGTCAGTCACCTGTACTGATGGCTTGTGGTCATCCAGAAATAGTAAAGATCTTGTTAGATAGAGGAGCAAACTATAATAACTGGTGCCTTATGGGTAGTTCGCCTATAAGTACGGCTTGTAATAATGGTTATATTGAAACAGTAAAGATATTGTTAGACAGAAAACCAGACTATGATCGATGTGATATTCATGGTCAGTCATCTGTTTCGAAAGCGTGTAAACATGGTCATACAGAAATAGTAAAGATGTTGTTAGACAGAGGAGCAGACTGTAATAAATGTGATGACCATGACAGATCACCCTTAATGGAGGCTTGTGAACAAGGTCATACAGAAATAGTGAAGATGTTGTTAAACAGAGGAGTTGATTGCAATACATGTGATATTCATGGTCAGTCATCTGTATTGAAGGCCTGTGAACATGGTCATCCAGATATAGTTAAGATGTTGTTAGACAGAGAAGTAGACTGTAATAAATGTGATAATGCTGGCCATTCACCTTTAATAAAGGCGTGTTGTGAACACGGTCATACAGAAATAGTAGAGATGTTGTTAGACAGAGGAATAGACTGTAATAATTGTAATGGAGATGATCAGTCGCCTTTAATGAAGGCTTGTGAACATGGTCATACAAAAATAGTACAAATGTTGTTAGACAGAGGATCAGACTATAATGGATATGACAGGTTTGGTATGTCAACTGTAATGTATGCGTCTAAACAGGGACATACAAAAATAGTAAAGATGTTGGTCGACAGAGGAGCTGACTGTATATCTGATAGATGGGGTCAATCAGCTGTAATGTATGCTTGTGAACATGGTCATACAGATATATTTAAGATGTTGTTAGACAGAGGAGCAGTCTATGATAAATGTAACATCAGGGTTAGGTCCCCTGTAATGTTTGCTTGTGAACATGGTCATACAGGAATAGTGAAGATATTGTTAGACAGAGGATCAGACTATGATGAGTGTGACTGTTTGGGTAAGTCACTTGTAAAGAAGGCTTGTACGTTTGGTCATACAGAAATAGTAAAGATGTTATTAGACAGACGAGCAGATTGTAATAAATGTGACCAGTTTGGTCGGTCACCTTTAATGGAAGCTTGTTAACGTGGTCATACAGAAATAGTACAAATGCTGCTAGGCAGAGGAGTAGACTTTAACAAATATGACTGGAGTGGTCAATCACCTGTATTGATTGCTTCCAGAAATTATCACAATTCAATAGTTACCATGATAAATCAACATTCCAGTTATGTTGAAATGCTGTACACCAGACGCGTTTTTTTACATTAGACCCTTAAATGACACTAGAAGCTATAAATTGAAAGGTCAAACAATGAATCTATAGTAAAGATGTATTTTGACATTATAAAGGAGGATATAATTGTTGTAAAAATGCATTTTGACGCTATAATTTTGCTGGTGTTATTGTAATATATTATGGTAAGGAAAAACGTCCGTACAATTGTTGAGATACTTTTTGTATAAAGATTGTCTGTTGTTGTTGAGGGTTGTGTTTTTGAAAGATGTCACTATGTTGTTGAAAGCTGTGCGGTTGTTGATTACAATATTACATTTGTTGTTTAAATGCATGTAGAAATATGTTGTTTTATATGTGTAACAAACTGTGCTATTGTTTCTAACAGATACGTTTTCGTTATTGAAATATTTGCTATTGTTGTTGAAAATATGCTGTTTTTATTAGAAATGTACCATAATGTTGTTTTTAAGATATGCCCCTCTTTAAAAATATAGGCAATTGTTGTTGAAAATGTGCTGTTTTTATTAGAAATGTACCATAATGTTGTTTTTAAGATATGCCCCTTTTTTAAAATATATGCAAATGTTGTTGTTAGATATGCTGTTATCTGCTCTTTGGTCGGGTTGTTGTCTCTTTGACATATTCCCCATTTCCATTCTCAATTTTATTGTTTCTAACAGACCTGATGTTGTTAAGTCATGTGCTGTTGTTGTTTAAAGATGTTTTATTTGTTTTTTCAAGAGATGTACCATTGTAAATACATGCTTTTTTGTAACATGATATACTATTGTTTCTATTTTGGTTACATAATTTGACACTTTTCTACAAATTTTAAACTCATGAAGAGTGTTGTGAAAGGTCTGAGAATTGGCAAAATGGTCATTGCAAAATGATTATAACTAACATGATGTTTTGAAAACATTATGTTTTTTGCGTAAAGCTATTTAGTGCCAAATTTGCAGTAGGTTCTGAAAAAAACTTTAATTGTATATAATGGTATTGTAAATAATTTTATCAAGATTTTGACAAATATACAACACTTTATTTAGTTATAACTGAAAAAGATTGTTTGCATTGCTGTATTATTTAGACTGTTCAACTGTTTTCATTTGCAATTGATAAAATTATCTCTTCTTATATCAAATTATATTGAGTCTTTTTCTATTTGAATTATCAGTAGTCATCTTTACATGTTTATCTTCATACCTGTAATATTCACTTAAAGTTTATGGTACCAACAATAAACACATTAGATGTAGAATTTAGTTAATTTCATTTTATTTGCTGTTTTTACAATTTACTTCTTCACAGCAATTTTCTATTTAGTTTTATATCATTGATATAGCTAAAGGATTTCAACAAAAATCTATTTATTTTTGTAGTGCTAACTTAAGAACCTTTAAACTTATTAGAATCAATGTTATTGAGATTTTTCGTTGTTTATGACATTGATAAGAATATTGTATACAAACCGTACCTTTCTTGAAATGCCTATATAAAGTAGGAAAAACTCCTACAAAAGGACATCTAGGAAATTGTTGACAGATTATGTTGTTGTTTTGTTTGTTCTTCAAGTTATTTTTGTGTCTTTTACAAGAACTCAATAAATCATTGTATTATTTTATTATTGTTGTTTGTTTAATGCCTAGAAATCAAATACTTCTCTACTATATCATGGACCAGCAAATTAAACACTTATTACAGAATGTCTGTTCTTCAAGTTGAAAAGAAGGTGGATTTTTTGACTGCTTATTTAATGCAAGGGTATATTAGTATGTATGGAATATTGCAACAGCTCACAAACCTAACTCCTAAAAATTAAATTTAGCATAGTTAAACCCAGCCAGATGTGCCTGTCACAAGTGTAGAACCTTGTCAGTGGTTGTCATAATTCATATCAATGTATTTGGTGATTTGAATTTAATTTTAATGACAGGTCATTGACAGTCTCTTCAGTTCACAACTTTTTTAGACTCTCATCTGTTGTTGACTACTGTATGCTAGCCTCCGATATTTTGATTATTTGTGTTGTTAATATAAGGTCACAGTATGATGTACATTCGCATACCAACATGTACAACAGACTACACACCAAAGATAGTTGTTAATAGTTCAATGTAGCTTAAACAGTTTATGATGCTATTAAACCACCAAGGTTATTCATGTTATGCCATAGGAGACTCCTTGCCTTTATTAAAAGGATTTAAATACAAGAAATTGATCGTCGAAGTTTACTCTGCTGCTCCCAGATAGGTAACAATATGTCTCTCTTCATGAACATTGGAGGCTTACAAACAACAAAATCAAAGTGCTTGTAAGCACTGAAGGGTAAAGATTGCTTTACTTTATAAGTGGTGAATAAAATTAAAATTTCATTGTATTAAGCGTTGGTTGTAGTCAAATCAACTCCAATTTTAAAAATTACTTTAAACAATGACATCATTGATATTTTTACAACAGGTATTAGGTTTCTGCACTTTGCACAAGTTATGTAATTTTCAAACCAAGTATAACATCATTTTCTAACATGAATAACTGATCATATATATTTAATTAATAAATTTTCAGCAAATGTTCATGGATAGGATGTATAGAATGTTATGATCAATGCACTATATTTTTAGTAAATCAAAAGTAGTGATAAACCATGGAAGATATAGATATCAAGTCAGTACCATAGGGCTTTGATTGCATTTTATGCAATCTTTACCCAAAAACAAAACAGAAAATTCATACTTTTACAAAATATATATTCATAACAAAAGAGATATAAGTACAATCATTATATACAAATGCTAAATGACACATATATTAATGTTAACAGTGCATGAAATTGGGAACCATTTCTTTAAAATACAATGTTTTTACTGCAAAGAAAACAATATCATTCCTATCAATTTTTATCCTTAAAAACACAAAGACTTTTTTTTCTCATCAATTGCCTTGAAAACTATTTCATCAGGAAAGACTGAAATCTATTCAATCCACCTGATTAGTTCGTGTGTTAACCTCCATGCAACTGAGGGACATTCTTTTCAAGAAAAAAAAGATATCCATAGAGACAAATATCTCATAATTTAATGAAAAATTACATTAAGATGTGAACATTCCTGTTTGAATGCTTTTAAACTAGTCATTTTGGGTGCCCTTTATAGCTTGCTGTTCGGTGTGAGCCAAGGCTCCGTGCTGAAGGCCGTACTTTGATCTATAATCGTTTACTTTTACAAATTGTGACTTGGATGGAGAGTTGTCTCATTGGCACTCATGCCACATCTTCTTCTATCTATAAAATGCAGAACTGAACATGACTCAATGATTATATTTTTAAAATTTAATGTAACTCAGTAAAATGAATATTCCAGCAATGCCTGAGCTGGTACAAATGTCATGAAATAGAAATTCCTACATAATAAAATTTCCAATTGGAATAAAAATTCTTGAATATGATTTCCACCGGAACAAATATTACAGTATTTGTCCATAAGGGAATTAAGCCTTAAAGGGATAAAGATTACTTGTTCCAACAGGTACAGATATTATGGCATTGTTTATAACAAAGTTACCAGGGGAACTTCTGTTAGGCAAAACAAATATAAGTTGACAAAAAATCAATAAGTAATAGAATGATAGGCAATACAAAAAATTCCATAGGATAAGCTGAGATCACAATAATATCTTTATTTTTATCTACATGATCAGAACACGTCAGAACAGATTGAAGTACCAATTATCACATGATTATTATTCAATAGCCATGATGTAAGACCAGCAAGACATCTGTTTTACTTGTTGTATTTATAACACCCACATCCTATGTTTGTTTCCATTTAAACAATGGTTGCTATGATATAGAACATGCCAGACCTGGTTCATTGACCCCAAGTTCACCTTCACTGTCACTGTCCATGTCATAAGTGGTACATATCTGTTCAAGTTTATTTTTATCCTTTAACCATTGACACAATGGTTGAGGCAGCTCCTCCCACAATTCTTGAGTATGAGATTTTCTTTGGTATACATCATCTAAACATAATCTGGAAATAAAAATCACTTCTACATTTACAATTCTTAAGAAATGATAATATGTTTTATGATATCACTAGTCAACCAATTTGGATCTGAAATGGTCATCTTGATCTGATCAGCTCTTTTTAAAAAAAGACTGAACAATAAATCATTAAGTCATTGTCAGTTTTTCAGTCAATTTTCAGACTTATCCACTGCAGTAAATTCAATACTGTTCAGACAGTTGGCTTGCAGTTAAATAAGATTTTTTCAGTCTGTGTAATTTACCTGAACAAATCAACATCATACTGAATAGTCTGAAAAGTTACTGAACAGTACTTTATTGACTACAAGCGATTTGTCTGAACAGTACTTAATTGACTACAAGCGATTTGTCTGAACAGTACTTAATTGACTACAAGCGAATTGTCTGAACAGTACTTAATTGACTACAAGCGAATTGTCTGCACAGTTCTTAATTGACTACAAGCGATTTGTCTGAACAGTACTTAATTGACTACAAGCGAATTGTCTGAACAGTACTTAATTGACTACAAGCGAATTGTCTGAACAGTACTTAATTGACTACAAGCGAATTGTCTGAACAGTTCTTAATTGACTATAAGCGATTTGTCTGAACAGTACTGAATTGACTACAAGCGATTTGTCTGAACAGTACTTTATTGACTACAAGCGAATTGTATGAACAGTACTTTATTGACTACAAGCGAATTGTCTGAACAGTACTGAATTGACTGAACAGTACTTTATTGACTACAAGCGATTTGTCTGAACAGTACTTTATTGACTACAAGCGAATTGTCTGAACAGTACTTTATTGACTACAAGCGAATTGTCTGAACAGTACTTTATTGACTACAAGCGAATTGTCTGAACAGTACTTTATTGACTACAAGCGAATTGTCTGAACAGTACTTTATTGACTACAAGCGAATTGTCTGACCAGTACTTTATTGACTACAAGCGAATTGTCTGAACAGTACTGAATTTACTGCAGTGGATAAGTCTTAAAATTGATTGAAAGACTGAACATGACTTGATAATTCATTATTCAGACTTATCTTATATTCAAAAAGGTTAAAATGACCGCCTAAGTACTCTTTTCATGTTTAACTTGTAGAAAGATTAACAATTCTTATGGTTAATAAAACAGCTTTTCATAATGGTCAACTTTCCATTTCTTTTTTAATTTTAATCTAAAAATCTTACTTGACTTTGTGCTAACAAAGAGAAATTCTCATTTTCATTGAGACTTTGAGCTATAATCTTCTTTTATATGAACTCTGTGATTATGTTTTCTTCTTTGATTTCTGAATATGTTATTTTACAAAATGATATAATTACCTGAGTAGAGAATATGGCTGTAGCTGTATTGTCAATACTTCTCCACTTATTTTCTGAAAATATAAAATTTCATTTTTTTAAAATCTCAAAAACAATATTTTTCTTCATTTTCTCAGATGTAGGCTTTCTCACAATAGTAATAAATCAAAGCAGCCATCCCTCTTACATTTATACCGGTGTTTGGCAAAAACAACAGGCCCCAAAGTCTCATTTGTTTTTCATTCTATAGCATAATGCAAGTTTTATCATAAAGAACCGGACATCATTATGGTCAATAAAAACTCAAACAGGGTTTCAGAGGTGATGCTAATTACTTCATCAATGCCATTGGAAAGAAGCAGTAAATACTAATTTTCAAATCATTGGTTATCCATAATCAAAGCTTTAAGTTTCTTCAACACTATTCACAGATCAGTCAAGAATATGCTTTACTTTTTTATGAATCACATAATTTCTGATTAAAGGGAGATAATACTTACATTTTCCAGAGAATAATCTAAAATGTTATTGCAGCAGCCACCAAAGATAATAATTTCCCCAGCAGTGGATAAAGTGGATGTGTGCCACAGACGTGGCTGGTTTGAAGGCAGATAATCTAAGTGGCACCATGACAGTGTAATAGTATCTAGTATCCACCCATCACCTAAGAAGAGATCACACACCATCATTTTTGCAGCAAAAACTGTTTCTTTGCAGATATGTTTAAAATATTTAAAATTTCTTTCTGGTCAATCATTTCTCATCATTATCAAATATAGGTCTCTTTTAGCATTAAGAATACTAGTGTAACATGAGATACTTGTTTGCTAGATATAAAAATATAAATTATGTGTTAACTTATCTACCGGTATTTGGGATATTTACTTTAACTTTACCAGTTAGTGTTTAATACAGAAAAAATCAAGAATTAAAACCAAAAAAAATCATCAGTTTGCTTCAGAATTCGATCTTTTTTATTTTGCAATCTAAAAAAAACCAAGATGCAAATCAATTATGTATCTAGATAAATTGTGCAAAGATAGTATTCTGTTGAATGAAAATAATACTTAATGAATTTTGTGCCTCTGAAGCAGGACAGAAAGAAATGACTTTTATCATCATCAATTTCATTTATATATATATGAAACTTCTCTCTAAAGATCACTTACTAAGAGGTGTATCATTTTGATCAAAGCCTCCGTATAAAAATAACCTATTATTTGGTAGTGTAGTCAATGTATGCCATGACCTTCCACAAGGAAGACAACCCACTGTTCTCAACCTACAAATAAAAAACATATTTCATTGATAAATATTTCTGGTTCTTAGATTAAATACAAAGTAGATATTTTCAGGTCTATAAACTATAAATTCAAAATTAAGATTCATAATGAACAAGAATGTGTCCATAGTACACAGATATCCCACTCGCACTTTCATTTTCTATGTTCAGTGGACCGTAAAATTGGGGTCAAAACTCTAATTTCGCATTAAAATTAGAAAGATCATATCATAGGGAACATGTGTACTAAGTTTCAAGTTGATTGGACTTCAACTTCATCAAAAACTACCTTGACCAAAAACTTTAACCTGAAGCAGGACAGATCGACGGACTGACAAACGAAAGAACGAACGAAAGAACGGACGCACAGACCGAAAAAACATAATGCCCCTCTACTATCGTAGGTGGGGCATAAAAATAAATAAACAGGGTGAATACATGAACTGATTGTTTTGAATGATGTTAATTAAGAGACATTGCTTTATTCAAATAAAAAAAGGGCTCGTTGAAGGTGTTTCATGATGATGGATTTTTACAATCTGTGAAAAAGATATATATTTTTATAATTGGAGGCACTTCTATCTTTTTGTGGTAGCAGTAAACAGCTGTGACATCCAGTACCCAATTATTTTCATATATTTTGATTTGTAATATTACATATCCTATCATAGATGTTTTGGCAAATATATTCCTACAGCTATCACGGTTTCGTGGAGAGATAAATAGTTATGACAAATATCTAACACACTTACGACAGTGGGTTTAATTGCATCTGTGAAATTAAGTTGAATTTAATTTCAATCATAATTTCCCTCCCTTATCATATATCATTAAGCTGGAAACAGAGACCTATTCAAGCAGCTCATACCTTCCACATATTACATGGTAAGTGGCCCCCAAGATTTAGGACTTGGCAAAATTGTACTTTTGTCTATCAATTATAGGCTTAAGATGACCTTTACCATTTAGCTTTTGTTACTCTTGTGTCATGGGATTGCTGTCCTATTAATGTTTATCTGTTGCCACTGTTGTGTGTTTCATTTCTAAATGATTTTTTGATTGCTAAATGATCTGTCCATTCAAATCTTATATAAAAACAGTGTAATTCATTTTACATGTTCTATCCTGATAATTTCCTCACCAAACTAATGTCATAGTGTATTCTAGGACTTAACTCCAATAACAATGTCCAATCACAACTTATGTTACAAACAGCTTAATTAATTTCCTCTTACTCATGTGATGATGTCCAATCAAAACTAATATAACAGACAGTTTTATAAAATAATTTTTTACTCTTGTGACCATGTCCAATCAGAACTAATATTACAAACATTATAGTTTACTACCACTTACTCTCCTGACAGTGTCCAATCAAATCTAATGTTACAAACCCTTTAATTTATAACCACTTACTCTCCCGACCATGTCAAGGTTTCTAAGTCTAGAAAATGTAGATCATTCATCCGTGTGGTTTTATGTCGACCTCCAAATAAGAACACAACAGAAACTATTTTAGCTGCTGCTGAGGCTGCTCTTGGTAAAGGGACATCACCCTGGTAATAAAGTGCTCAGAATTAATGCTACAAACACACATCTTATTTTTTTCAGTGTTTCTACATTTGAAGTTTATTGCATATATGCAATACTTCTAACGCTTTAAACCTTAACTTTGCTGTGTAAAACATGCTTTTACTTTTAGGGAATTTATATATGTTGTTTGCTTGTGCTACTGTTTAAATGTTATTCATTTACTTGGCACATTCAGATAAAAAATAAATAGAGCTTGTGTTTCATTATTTTTTACTAAATGTAGAAAATATTTCAGACTTAGTCAAATCTATGTAACTATGTTTTATAAATGTATTTATCTACAGCTGAGTATTCCAATAAAATGGTATAAAACGACTAATTCATTGCAAAATTGCTTTCTATGTTATATTCGGCAATTTCAAGCATTCACAGCCATTTTGTCTTAAGCCATTCATTTTTTAAGATTGTCTCAGATTAGATTAACTCCTCTCCCATCTATTGACAGAAAGTACCAAGAAGTTATTGTTATTACCTTGCACTTAGGATTTGTCCATTCTCTATTTACTGTGTCATATATACACAGCTGATTATTCCATCCTCTCCTTGGAAACTACAATGGAAACACATTGTTGACTTTATTAATTGAGAACAAGAGTCTCTAAGAGCCTGAATGTCTCACCTGGTAAAAAAATATGCCATTTTGATATTTTGATTTTTACCTGTATTGCAATAAGTTATGTTTGCTTATTTGTTAATCTTACTCAGTTACATTTTTGTATATCTTATATTGATGGTAATGTTTCATGCTTACAGTTTCTATCTATCTGTTATACTTTTCAAGATAATAAACAAAACTAAAAAAATTGTCAAAAATAGTTATCTAAGGACAATAACTTCTTTAAGGAGTTGTCAAATAATTTTGGTTTTATTAGCATTAAAAGGGAAAGGTCCTCAACATTTCTTATTTTTTGCAATTTTGGAAGTAAGAGTTGATAAGTAAAACTAAAGTTATCACAAATTTTTTTAAAGCTCCATTCAACAAACAAACTCGTGAATAAAAACAATCAGAATTTGTAAATTGAAAGAGCAGTAAAATTATTTCAGAATGCTGTTTACCTTTGTAGGTGTATCTCTTAACACAAACTGGACAATTAAATTGAAAAAATATCTAGATACTGTACACAATCTGTTACAAAGTAAATAAAACATGACACCAAAATTTCCCATTTACAGCATTTGATATGTTCATAATTCTTATATGATTAGCATATTAGGGAGTACATTTATATGATTGGTTGAGAGGGATTTCGGTAGTGGCTTGAAGTTATTTATTTTTGGATAGAAGACGTTGACTGAATTACTTTTTGTAACCAATGTAAACAAGATGGCGGCAATAATAACACAAACCGGCTCAAGTTTAAAAATATTTATTTTCACTTTGCATTCATCGTTTAATTAAATAATAAACACAAAACATTCATTAGAATGATAATAAGATATTTTTGTAGTTTATTTTTTATCAGATAGCAAATTTCATGGAGTACATTTTTTTGCGTTAACCAAAAAATATATTCATGCGGCAGGCCAATTCAATGACACAAATATACAATTTACATGAGATAGAGGTTACAAGTGGGGAAATTGAATTCCTTATCTCCAATTTTAAAGAATTATAACGATTAAAGACATTTTTAAAGGAATTTATTGGTGTATAAACTGAACCAATTCACTCATGTTTAATCCTATAAATCACCTTCACCTTCATCAGAAATCAACCTGTTTCACAGTGATTCAGTCGACAAGACAAGACTGATTTCTAGCTTGATCACTTGTGTGTTCTCTAGAAACTGAAACAGCCACCTAATTGCAAAAACTTCATATCCATAAAAAGGTAGAATAACCACTACCAGACTGGTACCCATGCACCAACTGTGGGGACAAACATGAAGTCAGATTATCACACTAAGACTGGAACCAACAGTGTCTCCTGATACTTACTACCCACTACTTAGTGTCTCCTGGTACTTACTACCCACTACTTAGTGTCTCCTGGTACTTACTACCCACTACTTAGTGTCTCCTGGTACTTACTACCCACTACTTAGTGTCTCCTGGTACTTACTACCCACTACTTAGTGTCTCCTGGTACTTACTACCCACTACTTAGTGTCTTCTGGTACTTACTACCCACTACTTAGTGTCTCCTGGTACTTACTACCCACTACTTAGTGTCTCCTGGTACTTACTACCCACTACTTAGTGTCTCCTGGTACTTACTACCCACTACTTAGTGTCTCCTGGTACTTACTACCCACTACTCAGTGTCTCCTGGTACTTACTACCCACTACTTAGTGTCTCCTGGTACTTACTACCCACTACTCAGTGTCTCCTGGTACTTACTAAAGTACTATCTGTATCCTCAACATATACACCATTAACTTTCATGTGACCACTTATAGATGGACCAAATCCACTGAAGCAATAAAACCTAAAAAGTAACATTGATATGAGGTAAAGAGATGCATTATATTTTTAAGGAAACATCTGTCAACAATACAACACAGAACATTATTTGAAAAAAAAAACTGTTTAAAACTGAACTGATAAATATTAACTGATTGTTGTTTGCTTGACATTCAGTGGCAAATATTTCATACATGTTCAGGAAAAAAAATTATTATAGTGACTACCATTTCTTATATTATAAAATGAAGTGCCTTTTCTGAACAGACTTTATGTTCCTCTCTCTTTCTATTGATTTTTCTTCTTACCATGATAAATCAGAGAGTGTTGAGTACTCATAAAATAGGTTAAATTATCTCATCCTACTATTATTTGTCTTTTAGAGGAATTTGAAGTTAACAACAGATCTCTAATAGCCTCTGTTTATTCTATTTTTATTCTATTAATTATATGGTACAGAAACTTTTCTATTGTTGATAATTGAATGTTGACCTGGTGTTTAACACCACTTTCAGCACTATTTGCTATATCATGACAATTAGTTTTTATTGGAAGCCGGAGTGCCCGGAGGAAACCACGACCTTCAGCAGGCAAACTGACAATCCTAGTCAATTAAGATCAGAGTCGAAATTCATCTGCCACATGCGGGGTTCAAAGTCATAACGTCAGTATTGACAGGCTACCCACTTACTGGATCCTTTTTATTTAAATGTTATGTAAATTTTATGTAAATGTTATGTTAAGGTTTTGTGAAAGTAGTCACCAATTTCTCATTCATTTTCACTAAAATTTCTTCTTGAAAATTGTTTCAGCCTTAGCACTTTGCTCTTCAGATTTTACTGTAAAACACGCATTACAAAATTTAAAGGCAGCAATCTAATTGGCTGATGTAAAAATTACCTGAACATAATATAGAACCAAGTGTTTTCAGAACCTTATTATAGGGCTTATAAGCGAAGCGTGGACAAAGGATCTGTATTTCAATAATATTGATAATATTGCATCTTAGTCATTGACTCATGTGATCTACATTGTACACAGAAAAATTTGACTCGTGATCTACATTGTACACAGAAAAATTTCACTCATGTGAATTGAGATTCACATAAATCTCACGTGAAATTCTGTGAAATTCACAAAAAACAAGCTTATACGTGAAACTCACATGAACAGAATTCACCTGAATCTCATGTGACACTCACATGAATGTCATGTTAAAATAACGTGAATTTTTTTCTCATGAAATTCATGTGAAATTTCAAAATAAAGTTATTCAAATAACATATAAATTTTTCAAATTTGATTAAAATCATGAAAAACACTAATGTTTTTTTTTGTAAAGTTCACATGAAATTCATGTGAAAAATTTCACATGAGATTCCTGTGAAATTAACGTGAAATTTTTCGCGCAAGTTCCACATATAAGCTTGTTTGAGGTGAATCTCATTTGAAATTCATGCAAGCAAAATTTGCCTGTGCATTCAGTGATTTCATCTTCTGAAACTGTGGCATAATAATGGAGGTTGATATAACAATCATTACAATGCATCAATGGAAACTGATGAAATGAGGTATTCTTACTTTTGATTATAGAACCAGGCTACAGCTTTATCTCTCGGACTTGGTGATTGGTCAGATTCCAGAAGGTGCCATGTATATGTCTTTAAATCTAGTCGATATAGTTCATTGCTGTTTCCAAAGCTGTTGTGTCCTCCAAATACATACATAGAATCTCCAAAGCAACAAGCACAAGCCCCTGAGAGTTCAAAAGGGCATAGTTGAGGGTCAGTTTTCATACAATGCCTAAAATGATAGAATGGATAAAAGGTAATAGGGATGTTACTCTTAATAATCATACATGTATTATCAAATGTTTAACTCATAGGTCAAAATACAATTTTTAATTATTATATCATTAATGATAGATATATGGAAATAAAGACATCATAGATACCAGGCTTAAAATTTTGTATGCCAGAGGCCCATTTCGTCTTCTAAAGACTCATCAGTGACGCTCAAATCCAAAAAGTTAAAAAGGCCAAAAGAAATATGAAGTGGAAGTCTGGAAGAGTATTTAGGACACAAAATTCAGAAGGGTTTTGCCAAATACACCTAAGGTAATCTATTCCTAGTGTAGAAAATCCTTAGCATTTCGAAAAGTTCAAAGTTAATACATACTGTAGTACAGGTAAATGTTTTGTCAGCATATATCTCATTTTTTTGCTTTGTCCTTTCACTTTGAACAATAGTTAATGTGACTGCGTTTTGTAATACTGTTACACTGCATTTTGAGAATAATTTTTTGCATATGACCCTGTTGACCCACATATATTTGCAATATGTGCCTCTTCATTTAATCTATGGCATGCAAACATTGCTCATGCTTACAAACTTGTATAAATTAGCTCTCACAAATACAAGTACTGTGAGAAAATTCTGCAAGATCATAACATATTAGAAATCATACATATGTTTGTTTGTGCTACAGGCGATTAGAACATGAATAAAAGGTACTTATTCATGGAGTAAAATAAATAGGCAATCAAATGATAAAATTGAGAATGGAAATGGGGACTACGTCAAAGAGACAACAACCCGACCAAAGAGCAGACAACAGCCGAATGCCAGACAGAAACTCGTCTCCAAAAGTAAATTTCCATGTATTCTATATGAGCTAGGTTCTGACGTCCCAAGGTCACTGAAACTTCTAAAAATATTTTGATTTTCAGACAACATATCTTTTCAATAAAAAAATATGCTCTTTGGAAAAATTCAGATATATTTATTTTGTATTAAAAAAATCCTTCACAACTTTTTTTTTCATTATGATGACTACATGTATAGAATTATTATTATACGTAAAAGTCATTGATTGCATTGTTGCTAAACAAAGGAAGCTCATACGTAGAATAGAAGCTGATCTTTTTACTTTCTTTTATCCATGTGAATTTGTGCATGTTTTGATGAGATTAAAATTGAACCTTAAATGACATAATATATTTTGGGAAGTCTACCTTCATCATCTGACTTTGTATTATAAAGACAAAAAATAGATGCTCAAAGTTCTAACTGATTTTTTTTTTAGCAAATGGCAATTTTAAGAACTACCTAGGCTTTGGTGTTTGTAGTCAATTAAGTTTAATTTATTGAACATGCTGTCCTTAAATGTCAAAATCAGCAGACAAAAGGTGAGATCTCAAAAATCTTGTCAGACAAAAGGTGAGATCTCAAAAAATCTGGTTAGACAAAAGGTGAGATCTCAAAAATCTGGTCAGATAAAAGGTGAGATCTCAAAAAATTCTGGTCAGACAAAAGGTGAGATCTCAAAAAATTCTGGTCAGACAAAAGGTGAGATCTCAAAAATCTGGTCAGACAAAAGGTGAGATCTCAAAAATCTGGTAGGACAAAAGAAAAGCATGATGTCACAGAAAGCAGATCTAATTTTTTTAATGAAAATTTGATAACACATTAAAAAACAGGAACTACAAAAAAAGTTGTTTAGAACATATACCAACCACCACAATCAAGCAACATTGAAAAACACATGGTCCATCTTTGTAAAATAGAAAATTACCAAAAGGGTTATTGTATTATGTTTAGGTTTTTTAAATTGTTTCTTCACTAACCACATATTTTTTATGATTTTATTTTCAATTTTGTTTCACCTTAATGTTATTGGCTGTGGTGGCTACTGATTACAAATCCTGGATATTTTTTAATTAAGAAATAATCATTTTTATTATCATCCATGGATCAGATCATTTTTCTAACAACAATTTTTGATTGGAAATAATATTTCTGTCAATTACGATTCGCAGGTTCTTAAGAACTTCAAACCTTAAATGATTGACAGATGACAGAGTTATGGCAATAGGATGAGCTAAAACAAGACAAATCAAATAATTTAAATTATCGGCTTTTCACTTCCAAATTTTACCACGATATTCAAAACATAGTTTTTTAACAGAATATAAAAATCTGTTTCTGCATGATCTATAATGATGATTATCCTTCAATTTATTTTAACTGAATGTCAATTTTATCTATCTAGTTTTAAAATTTCCAATATCAAAATTCTTTGTATGTTGCATACGTCCCCACATGTGACAAGGTAGATAATGAAATCAGTGGTCAAGGTATATCTCAGGAGGCACTGCTGACACCATTTAACATTAATTAGATTTCTTAATTACCACTGACGTGATAATTGGGTTAGGGATATCCAGTATTTTACTAAAATCTATTTACTTTAATTTTGAAATGCAGTACTTGGAAAATCAAAGGTGGCACAGGGAAATTCAAGCCTGGCGCTACAAAGGTCATGGTGGTCCCAGATAGGTATTTTTTTTTTCTTTATCCTTAACTTGCTTTTAAGAACCTACCAGATGTTATTTTCTGTACTGTATACCCACAATTCATTAGCTGGCAGATAAAACTCAAAATTATTTTCTGACTGAAAATAAAAACGAAAATTGTTTGTTTAAAATAATACAAGCTAACCTACCAAACTTTATTTTCTGTGTTGTAAATCCACAATTCTTTGGCTGCTAAGTAATACTGAAAATTATTTTCTATCTGAAAAATATATTGTTAAATATGATGTGCATGTAGATTTTAGAGAACAAGAAATGTCAAGCTCCCTTAAAAAACTAGATAATTCTACATATGTCATTGTATGGCTTGACACTACATGTAACACGTTAAATTATTACATGACACTGTAACACTTGTTTTTTATTTCATTGTCAATCATATACAAGATTTTTTAAATAGAGTTATCCCCCTTTACCCACAAAGCCATAACTGTAAAGACTACATATATTGATACACTATTTGCAATATATACCTTTTTTCCTATTGCTTATTGCAAACAAAACATAATGGATGCTAAAATATGTTTTGTGTTTTTTCCTCAGAACATGAACAGAATGATACCATATCTTCTTATTTTTATATGTACATTGTTTTCTGAAACTTAATGTCCTTATTTGTTTTGTTTAATGTCCAATATTTATCATTTATAAATTTTTTCAGTAGAAACTTGTATACATACAGAATATCCACCCCATACAATCATATACTGGCCATAACTAGCAGCAACATGTCCACATCTGGGTGTGGCTTCTTTACACACCGTCCGAGATACCTGACTCATGTCACATTCAAATCATCTTCTTTTTTTATCTGCAAAAGTGAAAAAAAATACTCTAAATAATAGGAAAAGATAACTAAAACATCATTGTATGTGGCAGCGAAATCATATTGACTAATACTGCAATTTTCTATAAATTTACTCTTTAAAAAGTTTTAAATAGTTAAAACCTCTGTCAGTTTTTCTACCCCAGGCAAAGATGGCGTTAGTGAGATATGGAACAACTTTTGGTAGTTTTGATTTTCAATGCTCCTCAACTTCACAATTGATTTGGTCTACCGAGCAATACTGATGAGTCTTACATTGTATGTAGACAAAACACTAATTAATCCTGGAATATTTTATTAGTTTTTCACAATCCTGTTTACTGTGAAAAGCTGGGAAAATCTAGGAAGTAAACAATATTGAAGCTTGAATTAACTTACTCACATAAGTATTGCAGGAAAAAGAGAGTGGCTGAACCCTAGACCTGAAAATGGGTATCCATGTGCAGTTTTATCGTTGAGATAATATAAATATCAGCATGATTCTGATGTACATAGTTTTCTTATTACTCAACTTGTCAGAACTTCTATGTTATTAGAACCAAGACATGGTTTTGGACCTTGTGATGTTCATTGTTGTTTGTCTTTGACTGTTTTGGGTTTGTTTTTTGTTTTTTTTTTGTTTTTTTTGGGAGTGGGGGCTAGGTGTTGATGGTTGATTTTTTAATGTCAAATTCTTCTATCTCACAAAATTTTGTCAGGCACTATATTTTGATTATCTATGGACATCAGATTTGTTTTAATATTGAATTATGTATTGCTCAGTTCTCAATCCTTTTGGGATTATGTGTCTAAATGATGATAAATCGATTTTCTAAACAGTACAGGAAATTTATAGGGATGCATGTTCGCTGTATGGCACAGGTACTTGTTTCTATCCATGGGAGTGTTGACTATATAGTTATACATGTATATGCATACATATATGGAAAATTATTCGACCTTCCTATGGATAGAAACAAGCGCCTGTGTTGTTTGGTTCAAGTTCTGATATACAGAGATTGGATAAAAGATTTTACCATGAATAATGATTGTCGAAATTAGACCCATTACAGAAATAACAATCTTATGTTGGTTTACATGTTTAAATACACCTATTATCACTGATTATCTGACACAGTGCTTTTTGTTGACAGATTTTTGATAACAGGAAGTACTACTTTCAATATAAAACATAAAGTATAAACGGAGAATGGAAAATTCCGGAAAGTATTTTTATAGCAACGTTCCAGAGCTCTGGCAACGTTCTTTGCTTTTTCTCCGTTTCTAAAAGGGGTTACAAGGTCTTACAATGCTATAGCAGGGGCGGGTCCAGGTAAGGGCGTAATGGGCGTACGCCCCCCCTTTTCAAAAAAAAAAAAAAAAAAAAAAACTATCGTTATCTGCTTATATTGTATTGAATATGGCAATTTATCATATTCATTAATTAAACGCATACTCTGATTTCTTTTTATACTGATTCCCCTATCCGATAGGTGACTTGGACACCTTTTTTAAACAACCAAAGCGGTAAGTAAATCCATACATGAAATTGTTGTTTTGTGTGACACTTCCCCAATGGCCATTCTACATCTACCCGGGGGATAATCGCTATATATATGATACCGGGTATGTTCCGACAAACGGGGTTGCATTTTCAGCTAAATTGTCTGAAATGGGGTTAGGTTTTTTTCGCCTTGCATTGGAAGGGGTCAGATTTGACTATCTAGAACGGGGTATAATAAATACAATGTTACACTATTGTTTCAGATAAGGGTGAATGTTTGGTACCATTAAAACGTTTAAAACCGCTGCAACTGTTTGCACCTGTCCTAAGTCAGGAATCTGTTGTTCTAAATACAGCACAAACAACATTTTCCAAAAGACAAAAAACAGTGAAAAGGTATATTTTAACAAAACGGGTATGTCAAAAGTTCAGAAAAAGCTATCGTTAAAGATTTATTTTTCATTTTTCATGCCCATTTCATATAACCTTTTAACGGAATTTACAACTTCTTCCAAAGATTTGATATCCACATGTTAATCAATACATAATTCGAATGATCCGAAGGCAGACTATTTTCACCAATTTGTCTATCATGGAGTCTGTTATAATACTTCATAATTTGATGCTAAATTGTTGAAATCCAGGAGCTTCTGACCTTCCCCATGGACCCTATTCCAGGGCAACCGGAATTACGCCTCCCGTTCATAAAATCCTGGCCTAGGACTATTGAAATGTAAAGTAACGCCCTATACCCTAGAATTTGGAATTTCTCGTTATTGGTCTACTGCTGTTAAGATCCATCCAATCATTTTAATATACCATAGACAATAAATGGAGAGAATTCCAGGCGCGTAGCAACCCGTACGCAAACACGCAGCTGCGTACACATCGAAAATTTTACAAAAATAAAAATAGAGTAAATCTAGTAAGAATAAAACTAAAGTAATAAATTAAATTAGAAACTATTATACAAACATGTTAATAATCCCTTTGTAACTATATTCCGTTCCTGAAATTATTTTTCATTTACGGAACCAGCATTATGATTATGTTGCTGATGCAAACAATTAAAATGGTCCTCGAGGTGTCAGAAAACAATTCTATGCCTCCTTACCCAGTCCTGACATCTTTTCTGAAGATTTTAAAATAACTAACGAAATATAATACGACGTTCTAGAGAGACCATGGACAACGATTCATTCTCATGATTTTCCTGTGAGGTATGGATAGTCTTAATTACTTACGTCGTCATAACAGATTTTTTAAACTGTCCAGTCAGACTTAAGTTTAACGGGGGTGGTAAAGAGTAATTTTCGTGCATCGTGTTAGCCGTTTTTATGCCTCGCAACTTAAAGTTGGGGGTGCATATTGTTTTACCCCTGTCCGTATGTCCGTCCGTCCCATTATGGGTATATAGTTATTTCAGATAGCTCCTCCTACAGTTTGAATCCTAGGAAGTTTTCACTTTGCTGGCTGTTTGTACATATATTGAATGTGTGCATGTGGTCAGGGTTTTGATTTTTATTGATATTTGCTCTTTTGGGAGATAGTTGAACTTTGTCATTTTTGGAGTATATACTTGCATAAGAGGTGCATAGCGTTTCCGGATAACTCCTCCTACGGTGAACCATAGACCTATGTGCTCCCATGCTCAACCTTGTTTATTTTAAAATAAAACTTTGCATCTGCGGGTTCATCATTTGTGTCTCCCAGACACAATAATATCTCAAAGAAAGTCCTACATTGACTTTGTTATAATACAGTAACTTCAGAGTGGAGTGCCGGGCATCACTTCGTCTAGTTTTTTTTTTTTTTTATTGACGATCAGCGTGTTTTTACGTTCGGTTGTGCAAGACGGGTGCCTCGTTCAAAGTGTTCCCCCAACTTAATTATACGTGCTTCGAGATAAAAAGTGCTTATTTTCCATGCTTCGAGATTTAAAGTGCTTGTTGTCCGTGCTTGGTAAAATTAAAAGATTTATGACAAACGAATGAACGTTTTGGAAGTTAATAAAAAGAAATCGGAAATAATTTGATGATTTTCTTTAAAGATTTCGGGACTTCAAACGAATATATTATATATTTGCCAGTTTAAGGTTTCCAACCTATAATATGCGTTCGTTATAGTACGTTTTTTTATCATGCAAGATTTCCGTGAGGTCATTTTAAGTCCAAGGAAATCTCGAGAATTCAGGATTTTGCACAATTTACCCCGGCGCTTCTGGGGTCCTTCGGCGGCCCCAATACCCCCTGCCGTTTGACTTCCTCCTCCGGCAATGAGTACACATCATATTGGCCTAGCTACGCCACTGAATTCGGCATAAAAAATATCAAACCCTGACACTTTAACTATAAAATATACATGCTCCAAGTCAGGAACCGTTACATAAGTGCATTTCACAATAATTTCATGTTTTTTAGCCAAAAATAGGTCCAAAAAAATTTTCGTCTCGCTCCGCTCGGCGAAAGATTGTATTCTACGCCCCCTCTTTCAAATATCCTGGAAACGCCCCTGTATAGGGTAAATTGATCATTTCAAGATAAATTTTCACTACTGTGAAGAGAAACATATATTTATTCTTCTGTTGTCTTTGAAATAAAATTAAAAAAAAGGATCTTACACTAAACTTATACGACTAAAGAGCCCAGTATATATATATATATAGTAAATGTAATAATCAGAACTGATCCTGATCCTGATCCTAAGGTCAAAATTGGCAACAACTTGTCTCACTGTACTTTTTTTCCTCTGCTGGTACACCGTTGCTCATGATAGGTCATGATAATTTCTCGCGGTACTTTAGAATATTTGTTGAGGCGCAGGATGAAACAATCATATGGCTGAAATTGAAATTTTCAACAAAACGTCTTACTGCAAATCATTAAAACTGAAATATGAAAGATAATGTACTGAAATGATCTTAAATAAGAAGGGTTGATACGTTCAAGGATTTGTATAGTGAGCCTATATAAATCCTTGATGTGTTTAATCATTATTTATTTGATTATGAAATTTTGATTTTTTTTCTTTTATTTTGGAACCATTTTTCCTTAAAGTTATTATATATAGACTAATCCAGAAACACATACTATATTATATTGTAATTAATCGCGTCCACGTTTCTTACGCGGAAATACCGACGTGTAATGTATAACTTTAGACCATTCATATTCAGGCATGTTGCCGCATGATATTGTTGGTTGGGCATAGCTTTCGTTGTCGTCATTGTCCTCCTCCTCCTCCTCCTCCTCCTCCTCCTCCTCCTCCTTCTCCTCCTCTTTCTCATCATCAGGTCACATCGTCATGGTCAAGACATCATCATCACCATAATCGTCGACGACATCGTTATGCAGCATCACCGTCATCGTCATTATCATCATCCATCACATCATCATTTGGTTGTAATAATCCACCATCTACATTTTTTTCTATTATATGATTACTACTTCTTTTTACAGCAAAATATGGCCTTCAAAAGTATTATGATCAGGTATATCCAACAAACGGTGTCATTCAGATGTAGATTCTTACAAATTATAAAGCTCTATTGCAAAATCTTCAATCTCAGTCGTTGCCATTTTGCAGAAGTATCAAACTTTTGAATTTTCTACGCTTTACACTACTATTCCCCACGCTAAATTGAAAGATCGAATACATCTTTTCATTCAACATAGCTTTTGCTACAAAATTTGAAATCGTAGATACGTGTTTCTTGATTAAAGTTATGAAAATTCTTATGTTTAACGAAGAACTGCACTGACATCATATTAGGTCTGTTTGTTTTTGGAATTTGTGGCCCTAAAATCTGACTTTCACATTTAAAGTAAGTTTTTCTATAAAAAAGTTAGACTTCTAGATATACAATATAGAATAGAATAGAATAGAATATTTTTATTTCCCAAATTACAGGGCCCATAAAGGGCATAAAATCAGTTACAATTGATTGACATAATTGATAATTACAACAATAAACATCACAGTGTACATGTAAATGTATATTTAGTATACTAGCATTGGTCAGAATCAGAGCCAACAACAGTATATATTGTGAATGCACAATAAAATAATAATATTACATTATATGCATTCATTCTCAAATTATCTACTAGACTTAGTATCAATATTCATACCTGAACTCCTTAATTCAAAACACTCCCCAATATAACAGCCCATTTTTTCCATAAGAAATACATTTTCTTGAGTCAAAAGCCATCAAAATTTGGAAGATTTATATATCAATATATTTGTTGATGAGTTTGGTGGATTGATATTTCAACAGATAGAATGACAGTCAGTATTCAAATGGGTACTTATTGTGCAGCCTTACATATTTTTGTACTCTTGTGAAGGAGAATTTATACAAACTCTGTTAAAAGATAAAAGAAAGAAAAACGTTGTGCAAAGTTCTTTAACTTCACTTTTATCTATATTAATGATGACTTGTCTCTCAATAACCAACATTTTAGTGAGTGCTTGTATCTTATATATCCTAGTGAATTTGCTTACATCAACTTCATTTGAACTCTGGTGGATAGTTATCTCATTGGCAATCATACCACATCTCGTTCCAAAGCAACTCGAATAACACACACGCATGAAATACCAAATTGAAGATCTTTAGTTTGACCAGACCTGTGTGGGACTTCTGAACCTTATAAAGTAAGCGAGCAGTTAT